TTCTGTTTGTTTGTTTGTTTGTTTTTCTTTTTCTGAGAAACAAACTAAACAGAGAGGTGAGTAAATTATGGCTCTGACTTTCTTCAGGACCCAATCTCCCAGTTCCGCACTGTTCAGAGCACAAAAGAGGAAGTCTGAAATACCAGTCTGCACTCACTGAAACTGTTTCAAATAAAGTAATCCCATTCAATCGAAGAGTTTCCAGTAGATGAAATAGTGTGGTATGGCCTCCAGGACTCACACCAGTCTGTCTCTCAGCTGCTGCCAAAAATAAGAGAATGTTTCCTTTGGAAGTGTTCTTTGTTCTTATTTTAAGGTAAACCTTTACTTTGCAGACTGCAGGGTTTTTAACATTATCTCAAAGTTAACTGTGGAAACCATGATCCTTTGTGGTACAGAACATGGGCCAGGACAGTACTTTTTGGTAGACCTTGGCTTAGGGACATTCTTCTTGGATTTCCCAGTGTCTTTGGTGCTGACAGCCCCCGCTTCCTCTTTAGCTGGTGCCAACACAGGGAAAAAGGAGGAATTAACTCTCAGGTCCAGGGAAGTGAGACCCTGAGGGATTTTGAGGACTAGAGTTAGCCTCCCACAGTGCACCAGGGCTCTGCCCAGGAGCCCAAGCTATAAACCAGGGGCTGCAAACTGTGGTGGAGAAGGAAGGGACAGGGAGTCTGGATATTTTCTTCATTACAGTGCAGAAGGGATTTAAAAATTTCAAATGTGGGCTTTACAATTTATCCTTGCTTTCTGGGCTGGTTCAAACACTCCCTGCTCCTTATCTGAAGCTGTAAGCAAGAGATTCCAAACCAGCCCTTCTTTTTTTCCAGGATCTTTATTTTTCTCCAGGCCTCCCACTCCCCTGACTGGGAAAGAAGGCAGTCCCTATCCTACCTTCCTTTAAGGTGTAAAAGTAATGTTTGCCTCTAGTATAGAAATGGAGAATGAAAGCTAAGCACCCTTCCACACACACACCACCACCATCCCTTTCCCCCTCTGTGCATTTAGGGTCTGGGAACAACAAAGGGAAGAAGAAAGTATAAGACAATAGGGATTAATAGGGACTGTAGGGGAGCCTTCCCCAAGGCATTTAAATTTAAATCTAAAACCAACCAACCAATCAATCAAACAAACAAATCTTCCTGCAGACCAGATTTGTCCCTGGGCTGCCCGTTTGCCACAACTGGGTCTTTCTAGGCATTTCTAATACATACACAAAGATAAACAATATTATAAATACATTCAGATACATGGAACTCATATTTTTATACAAGTAGGATTATAGGTTGATACGTACTGTTTTGCATTTTGCTTTTGCATGTAACATTGAAAAGATCTGCAGGTTGGATGACTTTGTAACTAGTACACTATAGATGAATATTCAGGTTATATCCGGTTTAGGTAAAGCGTTTTTTTTTTCCTTCCCAAATGACATAGCATTGTTCAACCTCAGACACGTGTCAGGGAATATACATAGGTAATTTGACGAAGTGGGATTGCTGGGTCAATTTTGATGGCTACCGGCAAGAGGCTTTCCAAAGAAGTTGTATCTAATTCTACCAACAGTGCTCCTCTGTTTAATTTTGAACTTCTTTCCCTGTGTATGTGTCTCATTAGTTATTCTCATCAGAAAAGGTGGCCTCTTTTTCCCTGGCCAGAGTGAACTACCTACAGAAAGTTTCTTTATTCTGTTTATTGAAGAACTGTAGGAACATAAATATGTTTTGCCTACATAAAGTTAATGGTCTGTGGTAAAGAATGAAGATTTTTAAGTAGCCTTCCATGTCATTTGGCTGGGGAAACACTGGGTTAGTGTGTCGACACCTGGCATGGGTTTGGAGGAAAGAGGTGGGGCTTCTTGGGGTGTGCCGGCTAAGCTGGACCACAGCCTCCATGGCCTACCCCTTCCCTCTTGCTTGATGTACACATCGCCACAGCTGAAGTGGGCTATTTCTCCTCTGCTAGGCACGCACTGGAGCCTGGGGGATGGGAATGTGCTTTCCCCTCCTGGAGTCTGATTACCCACTTTGGACTTCCAGGTGGGGCTAAAATTTCCTGTGAGTACTGGGCTACACCATCCAAAGCTTCAGTTCCCTTTTCCCTGAACTCTCTACTCTCATATCATTCTGGTGAAAGCCTTGCCCTTTTGCCTAGGGGCCATGGCCTCTGTGCCAGTCAAAAGAATGCTTGGAATGGTGTGGAAAGTTTAATCATTATGAGTTTTTTAAAAAAATACAGCCTTCTGTAGTAAAATATTTTGCCCACAAATAAAATATTTCTGCAAAAGTTAGGTGGTATTGCTCTGGTTTGAGCAATACAGTCATGGGATCTTCGGGCCATCTTGTTTCCTTGCCATTCTCCTTATTCCCTGACAGACAGTCCATCCCTTTAAACTCTGATAGAATTTTGATCATAGCTAAATTATATTATATCATTTATTATCTATCACATTGCTTGTTATCAGTTTATGCATTTATCTCTACCATAGGATTGTAAGCTGGTTGAAGTTCTTAACAACAATAATAGTGGTAAATGGTTATTCCTATGTGCCAGACACTCTACTAAGGATATTATACATATTAACTCATTTAAAGCTCATACATTTCTCACAATATCTTGGTATCTCTATTTCTGGCAACTTCTTGAATGTTTTATAATAGTAATTTTATTTAGATCTCTCTGCTTCCACTTATCCAGAAGGAGTTTTAGGGAGGAAAATTATATATAGTTTACGATATATCAGTCCCTTAGCATTATTAACAACATTTTTATAATAAAAACAGACCATAAAGAATAATAACAGGATTATTTTCTTGTTTAGCCTGACACGAAGAGTATTTATTTTGCTTTCTAAACCATTAGTTTAAATTAGAACAATCTATTTCCATATATAAATTAGAATAATCTATTTCCATCCACTAGAGTAGAATAGCTATGTACTTTCTTCTTAAAAGATAAGTAAGCCAAGTGTGGTGGTAGAAGCCTGTAGTTTCAGTACTCTGGGAGGCTGAGGCAGGAGGAGTGCAAGTTCAAGCTCAGCCTGGGCAGTTTAGGGACTTAGTGAGAATCTACCTAAAAATTTAAAATAAAAAAGTACGGAGGATGTAGCTCTGTGTGAAGTCTCTGGGTTCAATCTCCAATACCCCTTCCTTAAAAAAAACTTTTGTAAGCATTAATTCTTTTAAGAAATCACCTGTGACTTTTCAAATATTTTAATTCTACCAAATATTTCTCTTTTTTTCTACCAGATATTTCAATTAATGGATAAACATGAGGAGATAGATTTGGATTCAAATCCTGACTCAACAATTTTTCAAAGCCTAAACTGTCTCATTGGTAAAATTAGGATAATAATAGTTCTTATAGGGTTATTATCAGAAATAAATATACATAAGGAGTTTGGTATAGTGTCTGGCATGAAGTAATCAACAAATGTTTGCTATCTTATCATCTTCATAAAATGTTGGAATGACAAAGAGACACTGAAATAATTGATACTAAGGAGAAAGGAAGGAAAAGATAAGAAAAAAAGAGAAAATAGAAGGAAAAAACAGAAACAAAGCTTCTGTACATGGGGATGGGAGGAGACTTGAGGGGGGAATGAGATAAAATAAAATTTATTTTTAAAAAAGAAAGAAAAACAAACAAACTGATTTTTGAAGTATAAATAAGCTTTTAGGTAGTCAATGTGGGGAAAGACCTATGTGATCAAGGAAAAGGACATGTGTTTAAATTTCTGTGGAAACTGTGGAGAAAGGTATCTTTTGAGGAACTACAATTAGTAACATTTGGTCAGCTTATGATCCAGGTACAAGCAAGGGGAGCAGGGAGAGATTATGAGAGATGATCCTAGAGGAAGGCAAGGGCCACATTGTGAAGTGTTTGTATGAGAAGGTAAAAAGGTTGAACTTAGCATCAATAAAAAGTTTTAAGAAGGAAAGAGATGCAGGGGCTGGGGATTTAGCTCAGTGGTTCTGCCACCTGCCTCTAAAGCCCAAGGACCCAAGTTTGATCCCCGGTACCAAAAACAACAACAACAACAACAGTAACAAAAAAAACAAGAAAAAAGATGTGGTCAGGTATACACTGCAGTGGGTATGTTAATGTTGAACTAGAAAGGTGTAGTGGTGGAGACCCAGAAACTAATCAGAAACAATAATAGTCTAGGTGAGAGATAAGGAGGCTCAAAAGAAGGCAAATGGTAGTAGGAATAGAGGAGAATGGGACGAATTCAAGAGAAATTTGGGAGATAAGATGAAAACGACTAGGAGGAGGGAAACTGCTGCCTGCCTGAGCCCTTGGCCTCACCCTATTATGCCTCAGGTTCTGGGGATTGTGTGTAGGAGACTGGAGTGGACGGTAGTGCCATTAAGATAGGATACAGAAGGAAGTGAAGATTTTGGAGAAGGGGTCAGTGTGGGAACAAGAAGGGGTGGTGAATTTAACCTAGCTCTTGTTGACTATGAGATTTTTGTGTGTCAGCCATGTGAAGATGAACAGGCAAATACATTTATAGTGTGGAGTAGAGGACAGAGTTGGAGATAGAGATTGGGAGTCTTGAGGGTAAGTTAGGGAAATAGTTGAAATATGGGAGGCTCACCAAGATTTCTCCATAGTTAATCATTTCCAAAATATCCCTTCTTTGGCCTTCACTTTTAACAATCCAATGTGAAAAGTACTCAGGTCAGGCAGTGCACAGCTTTATTCTCTAACGCCTTAATACCAGTTAAAGGCGTGGCCTGCCATTTCATACCCTTTGCGATAGGTGGTGCTGGCGCCTAGTACGCAGAAGGCAGCCGCACATGCTGGGCTGGGGGAGTAGGGGGTGTGAATGGCTTGTTCGCCGAAGTGGCGACGCTCTAGCCCAGGGTCAGTTATTCAGTGGCCTGGCCGGGTACTCTCTGAAGACTGGAGGCAAGGGCCAAGAAGCTCTGGCCCCAGGAAGCGCATGCGTGCCCGGTTCACTCCCAACATGGACTCCCGCAGCCCATGTCTTACCTGAGTCAGGTAAGAGACAGACCACACGGGAAAGGAGTGAACTCCATCCTCTCCCTAGCAGCCCCCATCAAAAGTGACGTGTGGATGGTGTGCGTGGAGTGTGCTGAGTGATGACAGTGGTCCAGGGGGTGCGAGCGAGTGCGGGTTCCCGGAGTGTGTGGGTGCTGCACGAGGCACGGCACGTGGGCGAGGGCCACGGCCTTCCTCTTCCTGCAGCTCACCAGAGACGGGAAAGCTGAAGGCTGAAGGCCGAGCCTAGGACCTGAATTCGCGCCTTCGCACAGTTAGCTGGTGTGGCCGGCACCCCTGGGCCTCGGGACTTGGCCCCTCGCCAGGCCTAGCTCTCCCTCCTGGGAAATGGCGTTGGGAGTAGGAATGATCGCAGGTACCCGGATGTGGGCGAGGTGGCGGGCAGGTGGAAGGGGCCGGGTCGTGAGGCCCTTGGGTCTCCCGTGGGGCCTCCTGCATACATGGGGACCAACGGCCGGAGATCTGCTTTGGTGGCTTGGGTGGGGACCCTGGAGGACAGATCATTGCAGCTGAGGGAAGTGCGAGGTGATGAGAGCAATCGAGGAAAAACCAAGACACCTGCTCCTGCGTTGACTAATCCGGGCAGGAGGAATAAAATAAAAAGAGAAGCAGTTTAAAAAGGGGGAGTGGAAAGTGTGGAGAAAGAGTTGTGTGCTGTAGCCTTTCTTCCCCAGGCAGCTAGGAAGAAATTACGGGTGTGTCTGAAAGAAAGTAGTATTAACCAACTAGAATCCTTTAACCTATTTATCTGGTTGAGCGGCCTAGATGGCTCCTAGGTATGGAATAGTGGGGTAGGAGTACCAGGTGTGGGATTACAGGTTGTGTGGAGTAATGCAGAGAGAAGGTGTGTAAAGATAGCTTAAGGGTGCCCAGTAATACTGTAAATGTATAGAAACAACTATAGTATCTGTTCTTTGAGTTTGTTTTATGTGGTTAAGGGATTCAGCTCTGTTGCTTTCTTTCTTTACCATTCATGTTTGGAGCTTTTTGCTGCAAAGATATTTTACCCAAAAATGAACCAGAAGAGAGAGGAAAACACTAGTAGGAATATGTCGGTTAAATTTGGTCGAGAGAGATTGATGTAATTTTAGTGATGATTTCTTCAATTTATCTTTCGGTGTGAAGCAGCCTGCTGTACAGTTTTGAGCTGGGAGACGCACACACGGAAGGATGGGAGGATGGATCACTTTAGCCAAATTCCAGTACCTCTTTGAGTCTTAGTTTCTGTCAGGTAGAAAAAGACCTTAAAAGTCATTCATTTAGTCATATCCGCAAAGCTGGCATACCTACCACAAGGTTCCCCAGCCCTGAGTGATAGAGAACTTGTCATGTAACAGAATGGCTGAGCCACCCAATCCCTCCAGACAGCCCCTGCTCTTGGAAAATTCTTTATGTTGAATCCACATCTGTTTCTCTACAGTTTGCACTCCTTGGAGCAATACAGAATAAAATGTCTAATACTGCTTCCACAAATATTTGAGGACTGCTAATACATTTCCTTCTTCCACTCAGTCCACAAGGCTCCTTTTCTTCACACTAAACATGGCTGTTATTTCAAACAGGGAGGCAGTGTGGGGCAGTGGAAAGCCCACTCTGGAGCCAGACACATCTGCCTTCAGTTCCCAGTCCCTTCACTGACGGAGCCCGCCGTCACTTGTCGAACAGTACCTGAATAGGGGAGTGAGGATGAAGAAAAATAAAGACAAAGAGATAGAGTCGGGAGGGCTCCCAGAGACCGAGCGCCCAAGTTTATTTTTTGCCTCTCTTTTATACAGCAGGTGAGTTTGGTTGTTAATCATGACCCTTATCCAGAGACACCTGCTTCCTTGTTTTCTAGTTCTTTGGAAATTCCCCACCCTCATGGGCTTCCTTGTTTCTCGGGGTTACAGAACGTTCATCACGTTCCAGGGCAATCTAATTCGGCAAGGACACGGTTCCTCATAACATAGTCTCCTTGCTGTATACAATGGAGGGTAAGATTCAAAATGGAGCCTCTTTGGCTAACACCGCTCTCCACACACCGCTCTCCACACTTCACATAATAACATTTAGGACTCCGAGGTCCTGTGTCTTTCTCTGGGATGTGTGAATGGAAATACTCATCTCGCCAAACTTTCTTGAGGATTAGGGACAAATTGGGTACTTTAAGTTCCTACTATGAGAGCTGTTATACCTTCAGTGACATGATTTGTACTATATTTTAGTTAACCTCTGCACATGTTGCTGTTTATGTATCTCTTAATATCTTCTCTGTTGAATAGAAGAAAATACTCTCTGTGCAGTCTAACTTGCAGGATAGTGTAGAATTAGCATATTCTGGGTACTTCTCCATAGTCTACAGTCTCAGTAGATTATTTGGAACTGTATCACACTGACTCATTACATCTTTTGTCAATAAAAAAACCTCAATTTCTTAAAGTGCTGCTGGTCACCCAATTTTCTCCCATCCTGAACTTTTAAAGTTTTTTTCCAAACCTATAATTATGCCTCTAAAAGCAGCAGTCCCGGTGTTCTATTATGTTATCTTCATAATTATTCTTGCATTTGTCATATTCTGGGTCTCAAATTCAGATTAGATTGAGCCTGGGGTGCCAGTCCTGCTGATCTGCTGCTGTTGTGCATCAGTGAGATGGTAAATGCTGAGCTTTCTATGCTAATTTTTGCACAAATCTGAGGTCTTTTTACGATATGCATTCATGTTAGAATTGGAATGTCTGATAAGTTGCTAGGTGAGGGAATATTGCTGCACGTGATGTTGGCCAAGAACAGTATTTGGAAGAACTGAAAGGATTCCCTGAGAGCAAGCCAAACAGGGACTTTGCATTTATGTGTGGTTACATGTTTTCTCAGGGTTTTATACCTTGGACCAGATTCTCCCTCAGCTGGGGAAGCTCCCCTCTGGAAGTCAGGCACAGTTAAATTACTTACCTCTTTGGCTCTTGGGGCATTATGGCCAGCATTTTCTTCCACGACTTCTGAAAGCTTTATCTGGGCTGATCTGTCACATGCTCTGTGTTTCACCCACTCCTTGCCATTGTGCTGGAACTGACTGGGGACTGGAATGCTTTCTTCGCCTAAGCAAGTTCTGAGTTCCTGCCCATCTTAACCTCCATCCCTCCTTTTTCAAGGAAGTTTTTCCTACTTACTTCGTGCTGGAGGACTTCTACGTGCCAGACTTGGAATTCATATTGTTTTGGGGAGCTTTCCCTCTCCGTCTCCCCCTTTCCCCAGGGGTTTAAATGGTTTCTCCTCCCAGTCTACCTACTTGTTCCATTCGGGTAGATATGTTCACGGTCTTCAGAATAAGATCATTTGTGGGACACTCAGTCCATTAATTAGAAAATTATCTTCATCTTGGATGCGGGGTCTTCTGGCCTGGCGAAAATGAAAATGTCAAATTGTTTGTGGGTCTCAAAGGTTCCATTGACAATAAACATGAAAAATATATAATGCCAAGGCTTTTGTCAGTAGTTTAAAATAGGAGTGCCTTGACTGTGTTGAAAGGACCAATTTAAATTTTTCTAAGTAATTCAATGTTTAAAAGGTGGCAGTGGCCAGTTAATACAGGTGATCCTCGACTTATAAAGGAACTAATTATATTTTAAGTAATCAATAAAGTCTCAGAGGGTTAAATCCATCTATAGCTTCTCATTTCTTTAAGATAAATTTCAGATTCCTTATGATGAACTATTCTTCCTAGCCTAATTGTTTTGCCTGTTGGTGTCCAAAAAGACGAGGTTTTCCCTCAAGGTTTTTCGGTTGGGAGCCTCCAGTGCTTTGCCAATGCCGACCCTTCTGGCTGGAATGTTCTTTGTCTCTCTGGTAAATGTCTATTCATTATTCAGGCCATCCCTTCCCCCTCCCCTTAATTACTTCCTCCCCTGTAGCCCTCAAATTCTTGTACTTATTCATTCAGTATTTGTTAGGGGCCTGCATTGTGGCCCACACCATGGCAGGCTTAGAGGATACAAAAGGTAAATAATATTTGGATTCCGCCTTTGAGGGCCTTACATGTTGTGGGGGAGGGGGCTGACTTCTCACAAAATATTACTGAGAAATAGAAAGAGAACTAAAAAATTTAAAAAGTGTCTGTCACCCTTCCAGATCGCCAGTGTCTTCCTCTGAGGCGGGGGCCATTTCTCATTCATTTGGTACCCCGGGGCTCTTAGCATGCTGGGTGGTGCTAAACGAGCATTTGACCTTCTCAGTTGGACCTCAATAGAAGTATTCTCAGTCCTTTCCCACACTTTCTGATGACACACTCTTAGGTAGTGGCTTCTACAGTGTCCAGGGGGTGGCCCTGAGCTCCTGGTGCGTGGTGAGATGCCCGCGGGCACAGTCAGCCGGACAGTTGGCTTCTGTCGACTTATAAGGGACTATATTGCTGGGCTGCAGAGCCACAGAGCTGCCGTGGTACGGAAGAGAGGCCTGCAGCGCCCCTGCTGGAACAGTCGCAACAGGGCCCAGGCGTTGCTCGCTGGCGTGCAGCTGGCACGCGGTCATCAGAATTTCAGTTTACAGCTAAAAAATGCACAAAGACACTCTGTGATATGCTACACCTTTGAAGGCGTAATAGAAGCCTTTTCAAAGAATTATGGATTTTAAAAATGCTTTCCCTCTTTCTTGCACCGCTAGGGCCCTTTCATCAATTACATCATACACAAATAAAGGGGGGCTTGCACTCCCGATGGCACGGTGGGTCCAGCGGGTTTTGGGACGGGTGCTGCGGTGGCCTCTCGCATGCCGACCACGTGGCGCTGCTGCAGAGGGAACGTGCCTGGCACCTTGCTGTGGCCCCAGCTAGTGAAACCAGACTTTCTGCAACTTTGGCTTGCCCCGCTCCGTAGCGGTCATACCATGAATTTGTCCACCATTCAAAGGAGGGTCCTGGAGAGCCTGTCCTTCCCTAGCCACACGTGTGACCCTTCGTCATTACCATACTTAGGGGCTTAGCCCGCTTTATGGACATGGGTAAGCACAGGTTTCAGCATCCACACTTCGGGCACAAAACAGGAGCCACCACTGCAAGTATTCAGCCCAGCTGCCCTTAGGTCAAGAGACCATCCTCTGGGCCCGACCTGCGGCTGGTCTAAGTGAGTGTCGGGGTCTTAAGGTTCTGCCATCTTTACCCGAGGCGTGTCTATGAAGAAGGGTTTCTACAGCAGAACCATGAGCTCGGAGTTGGAGAGGGGTCTGCGAGGGACCTACAGGGCGGTGTTGGGTGTTGGCACCCCCAAAGGTGCATGTGAGGGGGGTGACTCATCTCTCCTGCGGTGGGGCTGCGGGGAGGAGCTCTGCAGCCAGAGAGAGCGGGAGGGATGCTGCTGCGGCGGTGGGCGGGTCATGGGCGGGGCGGGGTGGGCTCTAAAAGACGGTGCCCCCTCGTTCCGTGCTGCTGTGGCCACCAGCGCATCCCAGCGTGCGTTCCCCAGGCGGGCGGGCAGCCTTGGCCCCGGCGCCTCCTCTGCGGCAGCCTCGCCTCACCATTCAGTGCAGTGCCGCATCGGACGCTCCAGTGGCTGCTCGCTGCCGCGGCCACTCACCTCACCGCCGACCCACGCGCTGCGCCCCAGCTGCCCCTGAGCCTGCATTGCTGCGGGTGCCACCGCGCGCCCCAAGCTCTGCAACCCTGCGGCGGGCAGCATGGGATAACGCGGCCATGGTGCGCCGAGATCGCCTCCGCAGGTGGGTGCGGCCTCCAAGGGGGTACGAGGGGGTGTGGTCGACCGGGATTGAGCCGTGCAGCTTCGCCGGTGCCGAAAACCCTACCCGGTCCGCGGCAGTGCTGCTGCCCTGGAAGTCGCCGCTCCTGTCCTCGGTAGGAGCGGACTCTGGGTCTCCCTGGCTTAGGATTTGGAAACCCTGGAATGTCCCCAGGTGATTTAGGATGTTTAGATCATTGCCTAGTCCTGGTGTGTTTTAGGATCTCTAGACTATAGTACTGTATTACCCTTGTGTGAATTGGGGATTTTAGACCCCGGTTGTCGCTGTGGCGTGACTTAAGGATTTTTAGCCCTTGAAATGGCTCTGGGGGGTTTAGGATTTTAAAGACCCACCTATTGCCCTGTCACAATTTAGGATTTCTAGACCCCAGCATCGCCCTGGTACGATTTAAGATTTTAAGACCCTGCTATTGCCATGGGGCGATTTAGGATTTCTAGATCTAGTCATCACTGTGGCGTGATTTAGAATTTCTAGCCATGGTAATGCCCAGGTGGGCTTTAGGATTTAACCTGATTAGTCCTGTGGCAAGACCTGGGATTTGTAGAACTTAACATCTCCCAGTTTAGGATTTCCAGACCCTTCAGAATTGCCGCGGCACGACTTAGGATCTCGAGATGTGGGTATTGCCGCGGTGCGATTTAAGCCTTCCAGACCCTGACGGCGCAGTGACAGAGGACCGCGTGGGTGTACCTGGACCCACCAGGCTCCTGGCTCTCAGTACTCTCGCGGTGTTAATAAGGGGAAGTGCGGGGGAAATGGGGGACGCGACCAAACTGTCATCATGGTACTACTTCTGGGAGGTGTTTGCTTTCTTTTAGATTTCCAAAGTAGTGCGTTGTCTCATTGCGATGCCGTCAGGTGGGCAGATTTGGGCAGATGAATACCCTCTCCATTTATAAGATGAAGAAATCAAGGCGCAGAAAGGTTAATTTCCACAAAGTTGGTTACTGGATTTTGCTGAATTCATACTCTCGAATCATGGGTCCATTGAATAATGGAGATTCAACCAAAAATGTTTAATCTATTTTGTCTGATTGATAAAAATCTTGAAATGTTCTCGGAGCATTTTTACTGAGGTAATTAAGACCGAGAATGGGTCCCTGCAGGGTTGCGTCTTTCCTTTCTGGGAGTGAAAGAGGAGGATGCAGTGTGTATGCTGGAGTAGAGTGAGGGTGTCAGGTGCTTCGTTTTTACAACCCCCCAACACTAGCTGGAAGCCCCCTAGTTTGCCGCTACTGGAGCCCATCCCTGGCTCTGCTGAGTCACTGCACATTCAGCTGCTGGGACAGTGAATGGGTGCTACGAGAGGCAACGTGAAAATGTATAAACTGAGACAGGACAGACAGTGCTAAGAAAATAACCGAAACCCAATACTTTTGGTCATTTACCTTTCAAGAAGGTATTGGGATGTATATAGTCTGTTACTGTTTCAGGGAGCAGACTGTGATAGACATCATATCATGTTCCATCTAGCACTTCTCAACTCATTCTTAGAATTACCTTAAAAGGTAGAACCACAAGGTCATGAGTTCGATCCCCGGTACAAAAAAAAAAAAAAAAGAACCAAATTATTGTGTTTCACAGATACTTTGGGAGGGGGAATAGACTGCCTTACTAATCTCTAAAACATAAACAGGGGAGCTGAGATTCTTCAAGGGGCATGGTTATTTTACCACCGTGGGACCATCAGTTTATTTTTAGAGTTAAAAAAAAAGTATTTTGTGAATTGGATTAGTTTGTATCAGAGATTATGGGGAGATTACAGGTAATACAGTGGTAGGGTGTGTGTCCACTAGGACTTTAGTGGTTGATTTCCTTTATTTATAGCTTTTTTTTTTTGGTACCAGGGATCAAACTCGGGACCTTGCACTTGCGAGGCGCGCGGCAGAACCACTGAGCTAAATCCCTGGCCCAGTAGCTATTTTCTTGGCAGCTCAAATTTTAGTTTTGTAGAGTATGGTTTATATTCTGTTTTGAGAAAACTTCTGACAGTTCTTTCCCTTGTGACCATTGGAAGTCACAGACTAGATAGAGGAAATTGTTTCTAATTCCTCTTCAACACTTTTAGTCAGTGTGGATAAGACCTTTGAAATTCTGGGAATGGCAAAGCTAGGTGTACAAACCAGTGCTTCCATCCAAAGACAAAACCAGTTCTAACATGCCAGGTATGGGTTCTGACTAATTGGGGGGGGGGGTTCAGGGGGAAGACCCTATGAAATTAAATAAATGGGAATTTCCACAGCTGTCTGCTAAGAAAAGCAGAAATATAATCAGCTCCCCAGACTTCTCAAAGAGATTAGATATTTGGGGTCATGACCAAGCTGCTTATGTTGGAATATACTGTGCAACAGCTATCTCCTCGCTCTTACAGACTCTGCTCTGAGCAGTTTCTCAGCCCAAATCTAGACAGTAGTGCTAAATAGGGCTTCACTTAGGCCAGAAGGCTGATGAATATTAAAAATTAGGAACACTTCTGTGCTTAAGGATATGTGTTTACACATACGCTTTAAGACATTAGTACCTTGCATGTACTTTAAACATTTTACTGGAGAGGGCTGTTGAGTAGGTGGTAGAATTTTTAGAGTAAATATGAGGGAAATTATTTTTTCCCTGTAAAAACTTGATAAAAGCGAGCAAAACCTCCTTAGTGGCTATCATGAAGAGCTCATAGGGAGAAGCTAGGGGAGGGGGGAGCAGTAGATTACATATTGAAATATTTTTTCCCCTTAAAACTAGATTGGTGAGCAAATACGTGATTGCTATAGCAGGCAAAGGCAGTCACATTCTTATTGTGAAGCTTTCTGCTATGGTCCTTATGGGGGGCGATTTCCCACTCCATGGTACCAGTTCTGGTTTGCAGATGTGTACAGTGCCCCCCACCCTTTCTCCACAGGATGAGGGAGTGGTGGGTCCAGGTGGGGCTCCTGGCTATGCCCCTGCTTGCTGCCTACTTACACATCCCACCCCCTCAGCTCTCTCCTGCTCTGCACTCATGGAAGACTTCTGGCAAGTTTTTCACCTATAAGGGACTGCGCATCTTCTACCAAGGTAAGAAGTGACCAATGGAAGACCCTGAAGGTGTGGGTCACTTAGATCCTAGCTGAGATCCTTACTTTGTGTCTGTTGGTCTCTGTGCTATGCTTGAAGGAATGGACTATTTCCCCTTATTTGCTTGAGAGCAGGGAGGTTCAGAGAGCTGCTGGGAGGGTAGGGAATAAAACTGAGATTACAATTTCTGTACACCTGACTTTTTAGTAAAAGTATTTTTCCAGCCTAATATGTATTTAGATACGGATTTTCTCTTTTGAGCGCCCCTAGTGTTAGGTAGTAGGTACAAAATTCAGAGATGGAACCATTGTTTCCCTCCCATCCCTGATTTTATTTTATTGAATTGTTTTCTGTAAACATGATTTGTCATATGTTTTCCCAAATGTGATTTAAATCTTTCATTGTTGTATAAATTAATTTGCTAATGATAATTATTATTATGACTGCTATTTATCAAGTAATTATCATATGCCAGGCTTGAGTTACATTTTCAGCCTTGTTTCATTTAATCTTTACAACAGCACTTGGAGATGGGTGTCATTAATCTCATTTCATAGGTGACGAAACTGAGGAACAGATTGGAAAAGATTTCTTTTGGGAGGGGGTCAAGAGCAATAACGAAAAATGTTTGTCATAAACCGTTTTTCATTATTGCTCCTGACCTCCTCTCATTTGCTATATTCAATTAAGTGTAAGTATATAATTTTCTTTATGATAGTTGGTTTGTTTCCAGACTGTCAATATCTGGCATTGCACAGATTCTTAATAAAGCTCCTAGGCTACAGTGTATAAAAATTTTAATTGGTTCCAATTAAATTATTTTTGAAAACTAACCAAATTTTCATGCTATTGGCAGTATATGAACGTATTTGTTTTAATCTAATACTACTGTTTGGCTAACTTTAAAGCTATTTAATGATCCATATTGTAATACACATTTAAAAAGTCTATATTGATCGATTGACCCTTTTTTTGTAGTTGATAGAATTTTGTAATAGTCTTAGCATTATGCTTTTGATGATGCATTGGTTCTCTTCTGAAATAACAAGTGCTAGACAAACAGCATAAATGAAGGCATTCACTGGGAAGACCTGCCATACCTTAGAGAATTTTTGTGATAAATTAGTGATAAGGTCAAAGCATTTTTATCTCTTGTTGTAATTATGTTTTTAACTTTGAAAGTTTTCTTTTTACTGTGAAAAAGTTTACATACTAATAATGAAAACTAGAGGAAGAAATCAGGATATGCTTTTGGAAAAACATCTAGGTGAAAGTGAGCAACCTGCCTTCAAATATTTTCATATAAAGTGTATGCTATTTGCATTTTTAATATACTGATTCAAAAGAGAAAGTGCCTGTTCTTTGAACTAGATTACTTAGATTTTTAACATCTTAAAGGTTATTTTTACAGAGAATTGGTCTAACAGATTTCTTTCCTTTTTCCCAGACTCTGTGGGTGTGGTTGGAAGTCCTGAGATAGTTGTGCTTTTACATGGCTTTCCAACTTCCAGCTATGATTGGTACAAGGTAATGAAGTCAGTTTCTAGATCCTACTGTATCTTTAAAAAATCCAAAATCAAGGATTTTCTTGTCAGCACTAGGAGACTCTTGCACATTTGAATTGCTTAATAACACAGCATCAACATTGAACTGTTTCTCATTTACTCTACGGGAGTAAAAAGCTCTTTGGCAGTCTGGAAGGATCATTGCCAAGTTAAAAATGCTAGAGTTCTGTCCTTGATAGAGATTAATTACTAGGAATCAAGCACTTTCCAAGAGAATCATCTGTGAGGCCTATAGTGGCTCATGAGGCTTTTGCTTTATCAAGTAATTTTCTTTATCCAAATCTGTCTGTTTAATTGAGATTGGGATGAAGCTGCTGTGAGGGGAGGGGCAGCACAGGAGTAGAAAGTCCAAATCACCCTTTCTTTCTTATAGATTTGGGAAGGTCTGACCCTGAGGTTTCATCGAGTGATTGCCCTTGATTTCTTAGGCTTTGGCTTCAGTGACAAACCAGTAAGCAGAACTTATATGGGGCTGGTGTTGGCGGTGGGATAGGTGTGGAGGGAGCGGTCAGGTCAGCAGAGATCTGCACTTGTGACTATCCTGTATATCTGGCCTTTCCTTTCCTTAGAGGCCACATCACTATTCCATATTTGAGCAAGCCAGCATCGTGGAGGCACTTTTGCGGCATCTGGGACTCCAAAACCGCAGGATCAACCTATTGTCTCACGATTATGGAGATATTGTTGCTCAGGAGCTGCTGTATAGGTCAGTGAAGCCACAGACTTGTTACCCTACCGAACGATGCTGGAAAAATAAATAGTTCCTGGACCCATCCTAGCCCTTTCCCTGGGGGAGAACTGTCTTCACTGCTGCACTCGTGTCTGTCTGCTCAGCTACATGTTTCCTCATCCCTTGTTCCAGGTACAAGCAGAATCGGTCTGGTCGGCTTACCATAAAGAGTCTCTGTCTGTCAAACGGAGGTAACTGTCTTGGTGGTAGATGGAATTGGGATATAGCCTAGAAGGGCCACTTTAGCTGTCATGGGACAATAAATGATAATCTGATGATACTGCAGACACAATGAAACTAGGTCTTTTACCTTTTCTTTGTGTCATGAGCTGCTTTGATGGTCTAACGATATTTATGGACCTTTTCTCAGAATACTATTTTTAAATATAGAAAATGAGATCAATAGCACAAAGGAAAGTGATTATATTGAATGTGGTTGAAGAAGCTGCACTGTAGTCATATATGTTTCTTTTGCAGTGCATTAGACAGATCTAATGATGGGTTTAGCAACACTGATTAGAAGTAGTGAGGAGTGTAAAGGCTATTTTGCTGTATCTGTAAGAACTGCAGTGGATTATAAAAGAATAAGCTTCAAGATAGAAGGCCATAGGTGCTTCTATGTCTGTGGTATTAGTATTAGATCCGTAAAGTCTTAATTAGATGCTAGCACCAAGTTTCAGTTAGAAATTAGTGACCCTGTATTAGACCTTTCAGAGATGCTTGTATTATGTACCATTGAGCTCAGATTGTAAATCTGCGAATATCTAAATGTCCCGAGTGCCTTAAGGACAGCTTGGGAGAAGAGTCATAGTGCTCCTGTGTTTCTTCCATTGACTCTGGAAAAATATGGAAAAGCAAAAACTAGATTTTTAAAAGATTTACACTTACTGAACAATTCCTCTGAGCAATTGGAGGATATGTTAAAGGGAGCCAGAGCCTAGTTATCAGCATGATGTATGACAATATAGATTATTTCTCCCATTTTTCTACCTTTAAAATGGGGAAGTAATTCCAGTGGACTAAAATTTTACCAGTTGAATATGGAATTGCTTGGCGAAGTAATTATATGACACTGCAGTCATGCTTTGCTTAATCAGGGAGATATACATATATATGGTCCCTTGTTGACTGAAATACTGTCATGCAGTGAATGACTGTACTAAGTTTTTATTTGCAATTCTGTCTTGGCAGTAAATGTCTCAAAGGTGACAGTAAATAGGGTCAGTAGTCTCCAGTAATAGGTTTGCATTTGAACTAAGTTTTGGTACTGACTAAAACCAATCTCTTCTTCTAAAGGTATCTTTCCTGAGACGCACCGTCCTCTCCTTCTCCAAAAGGTTGGTTACTTTACTGAAAAGAGCCTGTTTTAGGATTTGTGCTGACATAAATAGTGCTGGGACTTTTTTTTTTTTTTTTTTTTTTGGGTACTGGGCATCAAACTCTGGGACCTTGCGCTTGTGAGGCAGGTGCAAGAACCACTAAGCTAAATCCCCAGCCCCTGTGCTGGGACCTTTTAATGGCTGTATCTGCTGTGATGGACTATAATTAAAGTCTTCTTCCTTATGGATTCACATTAATGAAGTTAATTTTTCCCTGCTTAGGCAGATAAAAGCAGTGGAAGTGACTCCTACATAAAACTAAAAACTGTTTCTGAGGATGAAAGATGAACAAATACTTGAAGAAATATTACTATGTAAAGACTTGTGTCACAAGCATTAAGTCTGAATAAATTGGGATCCTGGTCTAAACTTAAGTCTTAAGGACTTATGGCCAGGCAAAAGGGCTTGTACCCATAATACTAGCAACTTGGAAGACTGAAGCAGGAAGACTGCTTGAGCCCAGAAGTCTAGGGCCAGCCTGGGCAACACAGAGCTCATTTCTTTTAAAAAAAAAAAAAAAAAAAAAAAGTATTAGGGATTTAGCAAAATGTAAATAATCTCTTAAAAGGAATTCGAAACAGATTTATCTCCCACAAGAGAAGAATGTGGGTCAGCAATACAAAAAAGAGAAAATAAAGCCATGTACCAAAATTTTCAGGTAGATTTGGCTACCTTTATTAGTTCTTAGTATAAATTCTTTTAACCTGGTGCACTGTCATCTTTTGCTGGATCCTTGATTTTTTTTCACTTATTACCTATAGCTACTCAAAGATGGAGGCGTGCTCTCACCCATCCTCACAAGGCTGATGAACTTCTTTGTATTCTCTCGAGGGTAAGTCACTATGAAAGACTGACTGTATAGCCTAGGAATAATTACAGCCTGGGCCAAATCCTGAGATTTGGTATTTTCAAGCAAAGGTGTTGGCCTCTTGTTAAGGTAGTAGCAGTAGAAGGAATTTATAAACCACTTCAGGGCCAGACCGTGTGACCACTGAAGTTCTAGTCAGATTTATCATTCTAAATTCTCCCCACACTTACCTTTCTGCATTTTTGACTCTTTCCAGTCTCACCCCAGTCTTTGGACCATATACCCGACCCTCTGAGAGTGAGCTATGGGACATGTGGGCAGGGATCCGCAACAATGATGGGAACTTGGTCATAGACAGGTAAGAAATAAGCCTTTGTTTTGGGTTCCAGAAAGGCTGTTCTGGAATTTGGACAAAGACACAGGATTGCTTATTCTGTGCCTAGCTGGCTTGTTTTCTACCACAAGAAGGCTGGTTTAGGACTGTTAGGCACACCTAATATTGTCATGGTCTGTGCTTTCCAAAAAAGAAAGAAGTCCAACAGGGTGAGCTCCTACACCTAAGCCATTTGGTGCTTTTTGCTTATAAATTGCTGCAAATTCTAATGCTAATTTTGTTTTGTACCTGACTTTGGCAAATCCTTCTTTAGACTCTTTGTTAGTACTAAATGCTTCAAAATGTTCATTCTCCTTTCTGAAAGAAGTCTAAATGCAACCCTCACACTTCAAAAGGCTCGTTTTGCATGTCTTTTTGGTTGCAAAAGGGAATGAGACTCAGGATTTCCCTATGTTGTACAAAGAATTGCCAGGCCTCACTTCAAATGAGAACAAGGATCTTGAGATGGTGTTATCTGTAACTCCTTGAGGTAGGGCTCTGTCCTTTTACCAGATGGGTCAGTGTAGCTTCCAGTGTTTTCACTGATGGCTTTGCTGGGAATTGTGCATTAAAGGTAGCCATTCTTCTTTCCCACTCCTAACAGCCATAAAATCCCCAAAGATTCATTTTACTACATAAAATTGAAAAACAAGAAGAACTGTCTTAAAATTTTCTTATAGTTTCCTTTCCAAAAAAGCAAATACTATTTCTAAGAGGCGATACTGAGGTTCACAAAAATAATTGTCTTGAAGCTGCCAGCCAGAACAATTAGAATGCATGAGTTTGAGTGTTAATATGTGGCTGTGGCATCTTATATTTAGAAAAAGAAATTCTCCCCATTCTGTCTGTGGTACAGAGATGATGCCTTATGGTTATGCACTTCTACATTTAGAATTTCAGAGGCAGATGTCAATTTAGAGATCAACCCTCTTTAGAGATCAGCAGTTCAATACTCTTATTTTAAAAATGAGGAAACTAAGTAAAAAGATGTGTGCTATATCATATCTTTGAGGCATTGAGCTGGTTAGTGTGGAGCCAGAATTGGAACCCAAGATCCAGGCGTTAGTCACATACACTCCAAAATAACTCTTAGCTTTTCTGAGACCTCATTTCTTGCTTACTGGATGCACGGAACCATTAATTCTCACATCGATAGCAGATATGATCACTGCTGTAGTCACTTGGATAAAGTAGGCCGCTCCAGAAATTCCAAATTGCTTCTGCATTAAGATCCATCTCTTGCGGCCATGTCAGGAATTTGAATTCTGTACCTGCTGACTTACCTGTCCTATAGCCTCTTACAGTACATCAATCAGAGGAAGAAGTTTAGAAGACGCTGGGTGGGAGCTCTTGCCTCTGTAACTATTCCCAGTGAGTATCTTTATATTACTTCTTGATAGGAAACCTTAAGGAGTATGGGGTTAAAATAACCAGAATTCCTATCACCTCTAATAAGGATTTCAAGATTTGGCAAATAAGAATATAAGACATGCAGTTAAATCTGAAATTTAGCTAAACAACTACTTATATATGGAGGACATACTAACAAAAACCACCAAAATTAATTTAAAATCTGAATTCAGATTTCACTGGGCATCCTTTATTTTACTGGCAATGCTACTCCCAACATCTAGAAACACCAGTGACATCTGTGTAGACTGAAGTATATAAAACATTGAGGGTATTACTGAAAATGTAGTTGGTATTGCTGATTTCTTTGGTGTGCACTATCACTGAATACCACATTAAATGTTGAATTGCTGGGACTGGAGGCTGATAATCAAGAGCCTTTAGGGCCGAGGATTTAGCTCAGTGGCATTGCACCTGCCTCGAAAGTGCAAGGTCCTGAGTTCGATCCCCAGTACCAAAAAAAAAAAAGACTGCTCATTCATCTTATTTGTACAGATTTAAAAAGGAAATCAGTACAATGCTTCCCACATAGTGGCTAGTGCTCAAGAAATTATTGGTGGGTTTCAAATGTCAAGGGTCAGTTGTAACTGAAGAGACTTAAGAAATGACAGTAACAGTATCTTGATCTACAGAAAGAGAATGTTGAAAGTGGGGCTTATTCCTTTTGGTCCAGGGCACAGATGAGCTGAAGAGGGACCAAATGGTTCTATGTAGGAGAAAATGTCCCAAATGAACTGATTGGGGAACGCTCAGTAGTTCCTTATAGCCTAACCAATAATAGAAGCTAGGTTTTCTATCATAAAAATTTTTATTTTACAGAAATCTCCCACCACATCCCAGGGGAGTTAATTTTAGGGTGGCCGTAGGAGAACAGATTTGAGAGCTTTCAGTAAGTCATTCCTCTTCTCTTTCCCAGTTCATTTTATCTATGGGCCAATGGATCCTATAAATCCCTATCCAGAGTTTTTGGAGCTGTACAGGTGAGTCTCCCTCAGAGGTCTTAGTTTTGTTAGTATTTCATCCTGACAGGGGTAAACACAACTACTTCTTGAGGGACACTGGCACTGACCTCATTAGCTTCTCATCCAGGAGACACAACATAAAAAGATGAGTCGGGAAACCTTATTCTCACATAAGTATAAAGATCAAGAAGTTCAGTTATACATTATCTTAAATAGCCTGTTTTCACATACTCCCAGGTGTAGAGGTTAAAAAAAAAAAGCTATCACGTGAACCACAGTATGAGAGTAGATACCCTGTTTTAGTCTGATTATAAAACCAGTTCATTGTCCTAACCTGAGCAGACTGCAGCAGAGATTGAGACGAGTTCACTGTGGAAAAGTTGTTATTCTTTGTGTTTGTTATTTTCTCTGGGTACTTACTTGGAAGGCGTTAGAATTTGAAACCTTGACTTTGTCACCTAACAAAGTTCCATACCTTCATGTGGCCTACTGTATACAACCCAGTAGTAAACAGCTTGCATAGAATTTTAAACAATATTCCCTCTCACATCTCCGACATTAAGGAAGTTCTTTTGCTATCTTTGTTTGGGCTTCGAGTTGCTGAACTGATTCACTTGTTTGATGCTTCATGCTTCTCTATGGAGCTGAATTCTGTTTTGACAACTGTTGCAAAAGTGCTGTATTTTCAAGTTGACTGTTGGATTATGAACAATGAAAAGCTAGTGTGTCTAAAGTGGAACAAGTTTATCTGCTTAAGATATAATTCCAATGTAGAAGGTGAATAAACTGTGTTGGTAGTTCCTTCCAGTGTAGTATGTCCATAGGGGCATTTATTGGGGCTTCTCACTGGCTTACACTCCTCCCCGCTCAGCCTCAAGTTCACCTACATGCTGTTCTCTTCCACTAGGAAAACGCTGCCGAGGTCCACAGTGTCGATTCTGGATGACCACATTAGCCACTACCCACAGCTAGAGGATCCCATGGGCTTCTTGAATGCATATATGGGCTTCATCAACTCCTTCTGAGCTGGAAAGAGTAGCTTCCCTGTGTTACCTCTCCCACTCCTGTATCTGTTGTGTTTTCCACTTAGGAAGAAATGCCCAAAAGAGGTCCTGGCAATTGAATACTGTTCTCACAAAAGTCCATTTTACTCACATTGGTGAACAGAATCTAGAAAAAAGGTAGCAAAAGCTCTAAGGGTGACATAATAGTCCACCTCCTGTTCCTTTGACATCTGATCAAGGGTATGGACTTACCTTTGTATTTTAGGAAATTCTGGTGAGCACTCCTTCTCATTGACTCAGAAAGACAGGCAGTAGACATTCTTCTGCATAAAAGACTTTTTTTTTTTGGTACCGGGGATCGAACTTGGGACCTTCCACTTGTGAGCCAGGCGGCGGAACCACTGAGCTAAATCCCCGGCCCCTATAAAAGACTTTTTAACACTTCTGTGAACTTTTATGAAATACTTAAAAATGATAATTTCCCATTTGGAATCCTACAGTAGAAAAATGAGGAGAGGGGGCCTGCTTACCTCTCCTTGAATGGCTTTAAGGGCACATAGTTTTTTTAAAGTTCTCTAACACAGCTTCAGTGAGAGTGAGAGTGAATCTCCCTTGTCATAACTTTGGATTTAGTTTTATCAGCTGCTTCTAATTTTAGATATTTTGTTAAAATAGATATTGTTAACAATACAGTATTTTGAGTACGCTTCTAGGCTATGATTTGCCTACAGATTATATATAAGGATACTTAACCAGCAGACCCTTACTCTGCCACAATAGTGAACCTTATTACTATGTATAATTTCTTAATAAACTGAGCTAAATCCAAACTATTTATAGACTTTCCTAAAATCACAGGACATGAAGGACCAATTGCATTCATTATATTCCAGATTTACTATTATTACCTAGAAAGACCAATTCTAACAGTGCATAACATTCTGACTCATCATACCTCAGTGCTTTAGAAGCATGTCCCTCCTGAGCCTAACTGGAGTAGAGGGAGAGGACTGTTGTGTAGTCCAGTTCCCATGCTGAATATGCACTCTTCTTGTGATGATCGCTTAGCTTCCATTGGCTGTCCCAGAGAGGCTTTCTCATGTAGCTCAGCTATTCCTGTCCTTTATAGACAGGAAAGTTCCCAGATACTTTTAAGAACAAACTGTGAAAGACCTATAAGCAAATGGTGCTGAATACTTTTTTAAAGCTACAGTTTCACTGTCTTAGTCAAAGCAGGATTATTAAGTGATTAAAATTTTTTAAAAAAAATTAGTTACTTCAAGTATAACAACTTTTAAACTGGAATAAGTATTTATTTTCTATTAATAAAAATGAATTGTGACAAAAATGGATTCTGGCTCCCCCCACCCTCTGGGATAAAATTTTCCAACATTGTCAGGAGCTTTCACACATTAAATAAAAGAATGATGGAAGTTAAGCAGCTGGAGTATAAGATAGTATTTGATTTTCAAGAGTACCCAAAGCTGCACTGTCATACCAAAGCTGACCAAATGAGAAAAATAAGGAAAAACCAGACCAAACCATGAAACACCAAAACCCATGCACAAGGACAGACGTTTGCTTGATCTGTTGACTTAGGGCCAAACATTTAATTTGCTTCTCCAAAGTCATTAAGCTTTAGGAGTGTGATTCTGGGGAATTCATGCCACTAGCCTAAAAGCTCACTGACAGTGAAGTGTGTCATCTTCCTCATATGAACTTATCCAACAGAAGCCAAGATAACATCTACAGGTGTTCTCTCTTTGCTTCTGACAGTCACCTGCATGGTCACACCATCTGCTAAGGCCAGCCTGGACCTCACCAATAAATCATAGCCACCTCTGTATACACCTGAGAAAAAAAAGTAAGGAAAGCCATATTAAGAACTCAAAATAAGCTCCGATAATGAAATTTATCATGCTTTACCTACATCTCCTTTCTATTATTTTAGTTTAGCTTTTCTAAAATGAAATTTGTGGGAATTGAATACTACATATCAGTTCTAGCTTTTAAAAAAATATTCCCATGAGATCAGGTACACAGAAGGTATTCAATTATCTAAGTAGGGGCGAGAGTGGGTGGCACTGGTATCTGTGTGAGAGACTGAGTATGTCAGGGCAGACATTCATCCTAAAAGAATAGCATGCAAACCAAATTATTCATTTTGACAGGGCTTCAGATTGTTACATAATGGGCTTCTGGTACAAAAGCAGGACATGGGATGCCCGTCCACAGCCCTTATTACATTTTGTAACAAAATACAGTATAAGGGAACTCTGATAGAAGTCTCTTACCTGCGAGATAGAGCGAATGGGAATTCTTGTTTTCAGGTACTTTATCTGACCTCTCACATGGTTGCATGCCCAGAAATGTGATGATGTTGTTGACAGCTTCTGTGTTGAGAAAGTTTATGCAACAGTATTAGAGAAGTTGAGCACTAGGATCTACCTTTGTACTCATATATCCTGGGAGCTGGGGCACACAGTGGTGTGGATAGTGTGTTGAGTGAGGCTACTGGCCTTGAAAATGGATGATTCAACTAGATGATAAAGACAGGTACCTGGTCTTTTAAATAAATGACTTAGGATGGATTTAATGAAAGAGGAGTTCTGGAATAACACATATGCCTATTAAGTTTTATACTGTTATATCAGACAGTACACTGGGAACACAACTGTTCTCACCTTCAAGTGTTTTGGTAGAGCTGAGGGCAAAGGTCTCTTCTTTCTCAAAGGTATCTCCCACCTCTTCCCAAGCAGCAGAAAAATTAGGCTTCAGTACCTTCTGAATGTGGTCAGACACACTAACTTCAAGATCTTCCAGCTAGTAGGTAACAAACAGCAGTCAGTAAATAGAAGTCCTTTTCGTACAGAACAAAGACGGAAGGAACCAATCATTTATCACTCTGTTATATCCCTGCAGGGGCACAGGAAAAACTCTACCATCACAAAAGTTTAAATGATGTAGTCTGGATAAAGTTAATGCTGTGGGCCTTAGCACAGGAAAGTGAAAAAATAGGACATCTAGCAAGAGCCAAATTCAGATCCATACCTGTAGCCCTGAGATGCACAGCTGTCATGCTGCCACACCTAACTGCTGAATTCAGGCCACACAGTACTTTCTAAAATTCATATTCACTAAAAGGTTGATAAGTCTTCCTTCCTATGAATATTTTTCAGTCCATAATCTGGCTATATTATAAGCAAACTAAAAGTTGCTGAAGCAAAAACAGAACAACCCACTTCAAGTAAAACTGATTTCATGTATTACAGTCTCATGAAAAATAATGTGTTTTCATCTTAAACATCCCTATTACAAGTAGAAATAAGGGTGAGTTTCCTTGTTTTAATTAATTATAAAGTGGTAAATCTATTCTCTTTGCATGGTGCAATCCCATTACACAGGAGTGGTAATCTGAGAAGAACAGAAACCCCATAAATTCATGCCAGCTGTTCCTCGAAAAATGCTCTTAGGGAAGATGTCTTGTCTTAGTGTTGGAACGGTGTCAATGTTTCTACAGCGATGACTCACCACATACTCATCATCATACCCATCCTCATCTGGTACTCCAGTGTTAGGGTCACAGTCCCGGACTGTAAATTTCATGGTGCAGCTAAAGGAGCCTGCAACTGGAGGAGAAAGAGCAGGCAAGCCCATGTCAGAGGTATTACGAGCACATCGGTTCCATCATTAACGGAAGCACCATTTGTGCTGCTCTGTTTTCAAGTTAAACATATATATGCCTTATTTTCTAGGGCAGTAGTTCTCAAGGCCACATGCAAGTGAGTCAGAAAGGCAGTCTCACAAAGTAGGATGTTAAAATCTATTCTGGACTTTGGGTTAGAATAGTACAGAAGAGATGACATGGGCAAACTATTTCTGTGTTGGTGTGAAGAAAGCAGTAAGGGAAACACTTTTGGAGGCTTTTTGTCATGCTTGTCATAAGGCCCTATATGTTGAAAAAAAAAAAAACAACAATCATTGCTACAGGACCTGACAAAATAAGACACACTGATGGTAAAAAACATTACAGACCATCAGACTAACATTGACCAAATACACCTGAGTCTCAGTATTAATACTTTCAATTGTGGACTGATTTCCACAGATCACCAGAATGAACTTGCTTTAAGTCAACTTTCAATTACACTGATTAGGTCAGTAAATAGAATCTATTATTGATAAAGTCAGTGACTTAAGATGGAAAAGCAAGTGTGCAATTATATGTTTGACTGTTGGAAGTAATAAATGTTTTGATCCCCGGTACCAAAAAAAAAAGTCAAATTGGAAGTAATAAGAAATGGAGTTGGGGGTCACATTTTTGAAAAGTGTAGTTTTCATGATAATGAGGGAACTGAAGAAAAGGCATTTAGGGTGAATCCATGGTCTAAGGAAAGCCTTATAAGTACAAAAAATATTAGGAATTGGAGCATTAGGAAGCTATATGGGAGATGAGCAAGGAGAAGAAAGAATAGACTCAGATATAAAGAACGTGTATGACCAATTCCGTAGTAAGACTTTCATCTGCTTGTCTTTAAACTCACTCTGTGTTTGTCTCTCCATCCCCCATCCATCATACTGACATTACATATAAAGGAGTAAGCTAATGTACCGGACACTAAAAGACGGTTGAGACACAATCTTTTAAGTCTCTAGGAGCTGACTGTTTAGGGGTGTGTGGGCATGATCTATCTATAACATTATAACTGAATGCTGTATTCTTTAACATCAGATTTAACAGATACTGTGTGAAGTTTCAGGATTAACAGCGTGGGAAAACTATAAAACACGTGAAAGGATGTAACAGTTTAGCTGGGTCTCAAAAGATTGGAGAAGAGCTTTGGCTAGCAGAGGAAGGTAAGGACCAACAGGAAAGAGGTCAAAGTCCATGGGGTAGTTGGAAACAGTAAGGTATGCTAATACATAGGTGTTGATGAGGTTTCATTTAGGAACTGTAAAGTAATGTATTAAAAATTATTTTACAACTGCCAGGTATGGTAGCACATGCCTGTAATCCTAGTACTCAGGAGGCTGAGGCAGGAGGATCGTCATGAGTTCAAGGCCACCCTGAACTACAGAGCAAGACTCTGTTGTAAAACAACAAACTTTGGGGGGGTCATTTGAGACAATTTTGAGGTAGTCAAGAGACTGAAAGGTTAGAGATAAGCTAAATAAAATGGTGCCAAATTCAGACCACTGGTGGGAAGTCCATAAAGAATGGATCTGAATTCAGAGAGCAATGGATTCAATAGAACATGTCGAAAATTTATGACAGTAGTGGATTAATCTCTAAAGGAAAGAATATACTTATCAGCACTGCAGAATCTGTGTCAGTATTATAAGAAATTATTGTGGTTAAATTAAGGTAGGATTTTCTTCAGGAGGAATGGAAAAGAAGTATATGTTAACAGAAACCCAGCACAGGTCAATTGAGGTCTTAAAAAAATGAAAGAGACGCGAGAGGTATGGCTAAAAGTCACAAGAATGCAGCGTCAGGACAGACATTAAGTAATAAATTATATGCACTCCCGCTTAAGCAGAATATAGGCAGATGAAAAGAAGAGGAGACACAAAATTAGGGAACAATGTTGATCACTGACTGAGGCAAATTTAATTTTATGTAGAAGACAGAAGTAAATGTAAATGTAATTAAGTACATGAGACAGAAATGGACTGAGGAAGTAAATTAAGACAGGTATTAGTAGAGAAAATGTTCTTAAAACCTTGGTAGCAAATTTTTAATTAAAAGGTTTGATATAGCAAGGTATTATAGAAACTCTGGGGTGAATTTCAAAAAAGCTACTGGTGGTAATCTATGAGTGCAGTTAGAGAAGATGACTGACACTGGGTGATGAGAGGAGGGAAGAGGGACCTTTCCAGGGCAAATGCACAATACTGAATCCACCTCCATGCTATAAAGATGATAGCTTCAAGCATAAGGCAAGGCAAATAACCAAAGGGAACAGGAAAGTATGCTTTAAGGTCTACATTGGAATTGTTCTCAGAAATGGGATTCATCTTGTGAGGACAGGCTGAAAATAAGAGCCAATTTCTGAGATACATCTGAAAAGAATACAGAATTGGAGAAAAGATGGATGCTGGGAGGAAAGAGAGAGATGTGTGAATTGGCTGGGGTGCAGAACATACATTATGGCAAATGTGAGAATGGGAAATTTGGAAGGAAGTTGACAGGTCTCTACCACTGGAGGGAAGACTGGTGAGGTAAGGATGGAGTATATGAAACAATTCTAGAAAGCTTTGTAAGGATAATAAAGGAAGGGTGCATCAACAGGACAAAACAC